AATTCCCCAGCCCGCCATTCCCCATGCTGGCCGGGGAATTCTGGGAGTTGAAGTCCACCCATCTTAAAGTCGTCAAGGTTGAGAAACACTGCTCTAAAGCATCTTTTCTGAGTCAAATTCAAAGCATTTCACAACAGTAGTCACTATAAACTTGTGGCTGGAAGTGGGGGGCTTTAAAATACAACCTTAGCAGATATACAGAATCTTTTTCTCCTGTTTTTCATTCCCAATTTGTTTAAATTCTTTTTTGCTCCCTGTAGCTATATTTCACTGGAGGAAAAAAAAAATCTTTTACAAACCAAACCTGGAAGTTGACTGCCCATCCATTTGTGTTTTAAATGGCCAGAGAGTCCTACTTTAAAAACAATGCGGAGGCAAAATTTACATTTCCTAATCTGTATAAATCGATACACCATATGAAACGGAGTCAGTTTTATTGCTCGCTGCTGCTAAGTCCGTTATTGAAAAACAGTGAGAAGATCACAATTTATCTTCCATTGCTTCAACGCTGTTTAAAAATATGGGCAATAGGGCTTGGCAAAACCCCGCAATGAAGATCAGATTCAGTCGAATTTGGTCACTATTATTTGCTGTGGATCATCCAGGAGAAAGTCTATCTATGTGGTTGCTAAGAGTTGATATCAACTTATGGCACTTAATCAATCAATCATTAGCAGTATTAGGCATGTTTGCTTAATAATGTACACATCTGTACTAATGCCAGGGAAAAGGCTAAAATATTTGGGATTCTTCAGCTAAAAAAAGAGGCAGAGAAGGGATATGACAGAGATGTATACAATCATGCGTAGCCTGGAGAAGATGGACAGGTTCTGCTTGTTCTGTCCAAACGCTATGATCAGGGGTCATCCAATAAAGCTGACTGGAAGGAGATGTAAAAAAGACAAAAGAAATAACTTCTTCATATACAGCATCATTAGCTGGTGGACCTTCTCATCCCAGATTGTGGGGATGGCTAACGACTTGGTTTTCAAGGGGGGATTGGATAAAATCATGGAGGACTCATCTGTCAAGGACTCTGGGTCTTGAAGACTCCATGTTACATCTAGGTTGGGGGGCAGCATGGGAGATGGGTAGATCTCCACTTCCTGCTTGTGAGCACATCAGAGCATCTGATTGACCATGAAGAGAAACAAAATGTGGACTAACCTGGGTCTTGGTCTGATGTCACACAGCTATTTTATGTTCTTGTTGGAAGGAGATTCAGAACAGACAAAACAAAGTATTTCGTCACCTAGAATTTAATCTAGGAACACATAGCCACAAGATGTAGAATTGGCTACTAACTTTGGTAACTTCAAAAGGAGATTGGATAAATTCATGGAAGATAGATCTAGTGAGGGCTATGAGTCTTGAAGACCATTTCTTGGAGTCTAGTTTACATTAGGAGAAAACAAACTTTCAGACTAAGATCAGCCTTGGTTTGATCCAGCAGAGATGTTCTTAAGTTCTTAAATGTTGTTTGGACAGAAAAATGAATGTTTAAAACATTGGTACTTCTCTGAAGAACTTATACTTCTGACATACACCCTACTGTTGTTGTTGTTGTTACAATTTTGTCTCTCTTTTTTGCTGTTAGCTACTGTGGGAAGTTGAAAAAAAGCCCCAGAAGAAGGCAAAACATGGATGCTATCACCGGGAGTTGAGCTTAATTTAGGCTCTTTGCTTTCCTTTTTGAATTCTGGAGTAATAATAACAATAATCACACAGTTTGGTCTTACTGCCACCAACATATTTTGTTCTGTCCTTCCTGAATGATCATTCCCAGGGTCCTTTTCTGGGGTGGGGTGGAGGAGAAGCCAGGAATGTTACACTGGTCTCAGGTGGACCTAAATTTGTAGAGTTTACATGTGTCAGAAAGAAGATTGGAAGGATTAGATTAGAAGAAGGTGAGAAAAGAGTTGGAAATCCACCTTCGTTTTTTATCCTCTTTGATAACACATAACTGAATGAATGTAGGGTGTAAGACGCAGGCAGGAACAGTATACACTGAGCAGCACAACCAAGTAGTTGGCATTGTGTACAGGAACATCTGCACAGCGTATGGGCTGGACCCTCCCAAGCCCAGATGGGAGATTCCACAGAAGGTCGTGGAGAATAACAAGGCTAAGATCATGTGGGACTTCCAGATCCAGATGGACAGGCAGGTCCTGGCCAATCAACCAGACAAGGACCAGAAGACAGCGGTGGTGATAGATGTAGCGGTGCCAAGTGACAGCAACACCAGGAAGAAGGAGGATGAGGAGCTGGAGAAGGGCCAGGGCCTGAAAGAGGACCTAGAGAGGATGTTGAAAGTCAAGGCCAACGTGGTCCCAGTGGTGGGAGGAGCACTCGGGGCTGTGGCTCCAAAGCTGGGAGAGGGGCTCCCACAGATCCCAGGAGCAACTTCAGAGCTCTCTGTCCAGAAGAGCGCAGGGCTAGGAACAGCCCAGATCCTGCACAGAGCCCTCCAACTCCCAGGCCTCTGGCAGAGGACCCGAGACTGAGGAAGACACAGACCACCCAGAGGGGTGAGAGGAGATTTTATGTATTTGTATATGTATATGTATATGTGTGTGTGTATACACACACATACACACACACACCATCTCACTGCTTTTTCAACAGCCGAGGGAGGAAGAGAGAAAGGAACAGCCATGAATCAGAAAGAACACAACGGCACCCACGTTATTAATGCCATTTTTCTTTTTTACAGCATTTCTTTGCACTCCTTCTGCCAGATTGCCTTGGAAGATGTCAGGGAAAAAAAAAAAAAGATGGTTTAGTATTGAGGAAAAGATTCTCAGATGGGCTCTTTCAGCTGGATTTTGTATTGGTGATTTATTGGAAAGGGAGCAGGAAGGAACAACCCCCGTGACAATTGGGGAAGACAGGGGTTTGAACGTTGGCATAGCAGGGAACGTCACCATGGTTGCCTTGGATCCTCCCAGCAAGAGCTGCGTGGTTATCTTCTTCCTTCCAAATTCACCTCTGAGTGGCTGGATGTGTTCACTCCCAGCTTTGGGGCAACGGCTCGATCAAGAGGCCACGAGTTCCATAGTTCCACCACGAGAGTTCCATCTCCAGAACCACGAACTCAGATGACCTCCTTGCATTTACGATCCATGTGTGGATCGTAACACGGCTTGGCAAATTGAGATTTTCTGTTTCCTTCAGGAAAAAAATCCTGCTCTGAGGTGGGCTAAGAAGCCTGTTCAGGATAACTCCCGCCTGGAAAAAAAAATTATGCATCCCCCCCTTATTTTTTTCCATTGGTTGGCTTTCATTAGCTTGTGCCAGCTTGCTTGTATTAGCAATATCCTGCTTTGTTTTTACACTCCAGATGTTTCTTACGCGCAGGTTGCAATGGACAAATTTAACTAGGCAATTAAAAAAGAGCACTCTTAATTTCTTGAGAATGTGAGGTCAAATGAGTTTTGGCTTTCTGAAAGAATTGAAGACCTGGCTCTGCCAGTTTGCATGGGGTGACAAGAATATTACCCAATTCTGGGGGTGGTTGGTGCCTTGATGATGCTCCCCAAGCTACTGCCAATTTAACAACTATTTTTGGATTTTATTTATTTTCTATTTATTCAGGATCATTTTATATTGTATTTTAATTGATTTGAACTGCTTTGTAAACTGCCCAGAGTTGTTTTTAACAAGATGGGTGGTGACAAATTTGATAGATAAATAGATAGATAGATAGATAGATAGATAGATAGATAGATAGATAGATAGATAGATAGATAGAT